AATAAGAATATTAAATAATAAATAAAAATAATTTAAGAAAAAAACTAATTTAAGAAAGTTGAAATTTTGATATTTTATTATTAATGAATTCTTTATTATTTTATTTATCTTGATCTCTAAGAGTCCCTAAAAAAAAGTTACAACAAGTTTTCTTGAGGTTAAAATATATATTTAACCCCTCATTTTAATAAATTTGAAATTTTTAACTTTTCACTTTGCAATATAAAGTTTTAAATCCATAATGTTAAAGTTAAAGATTTGAAGATTTTAACTTATAAACTAACAAAATCCATTAAGTTTCAGTTAAAGTAAAAATAAAATATTTATAATATCAATCTTTAAAGACTAAAAATCTAACAATTTAATTTTAAAAGTTTAAAAATTCAAAAAAATTAGTAAATTAAAAATAATTAATTAATGATTTTACCACATACATAAAAACAATATTAAACATCTATAATCAAATTAAGTGTAGAAGATAAAAAGTTAAAAAACTTCAAAATTAATAACGTAAGAGCTAGATGCATACTTTCACCCCTCCTTCAAGGTGAATTATGCAAAACAACCCTTCAACTGGTTGATTGGTGGCAGATTAGCCCCAAAATTGATTCCAGCAACATACAACCCCTTTAACTCCTCGACAGTGGCAAATGAACCATTCTTTGACGGATGAAATGATTGCCATCATTCTTCTGTCAAAAACCAATAGTCTTGTGTTTCACTCTACTCATTATTGAGTTGGAAATGACGTGATACCTATGTCGTTAGATCCATTAAAATTTTTAATTTTTTATTAGATCTCGCAATACATATATAGAATTATATTAGTTTAGATTAGGTTACCTCAAGTTTTTAGTTTATTGAATTATGTTACCTTGAGTTAATTCAACATTTTATGAAACTAAAATTTAAATTTTTTTAATATTTTCTAATCAAATCACTTTGACTTGATCCAACCTAACTTTAACTTGATCCCATTTGACCATAGTAATTCTACTCTATATCCCGGGACGGAGCTACCATAGGACAATGGGGGCAGCCACCCCCCCTAAGCTTTTGAAAATGCTACATTAATTTTTAATTAGTACAAAATTTGTTTTTGATATTTGAATTATAAGGACCTTTTTAAATTTAAAGAAAATATTTAAGAGTTACATAAAAGGATCATTTCTTTCTTTATAATCAATTTTTAAAATAAATAATTTTATTTGGGTAT